CACCAAAAAATTCAGAAGTTTTGGACAAACTTTCTCTGAGATATCAATCTCTCGAAATATATAACTTCTATAGAAAAGCACCAATATTTTGAGACTTTGATATCTCAGAGAAAGTTTGTCCAAAACTTCTGAATTTTTTGGTGTAAGCTAGTCTCATTGAGGCCTTCATGTACACAAAGTTTCAGGCCGAAATTCGAATATACAATTTTTCTGAGAAGGTGGGGTCCTACAGAGAAAATTCACTGAAAAATCTAATATCTCGGTTCAGGTACGCCATCAGCAGCTCATATTTTAAATTTGTTAGTTTCTCGGTGAGAGTGATCATTTGACCTGAGCATGGTCAACCATTTTGCTTATCAGTACAAACCCTTCCATTGTTAGAAAAATGATGAGTACTTTCCAAAAATAGTTATTTTATAGTTTTTCCTAATATCGCTTTATTTGCCATATCTTAGTGACCTTTGTTGAAATAACATTTTGATTTCGATAATTACCCATTCAACTCAAGTAGGAAAGCCTAGGCATCGCTGAAGTATCGGTAAACCCAGATTGCTTCTCAACTAAAACAAACTATAAACGAAAGTTAATAAGAAATGGCAAATAGAGTGATATTAGGAAAAACTATAAAATAACTATTTTTGGAAAGTACTCATCATTTTTTCAAGTGAAACCATTTCGATTTAAAGTACGACGAACGATATTTAACCAAGATAAAATAGGCCACTTTGTAGAGAATTTCACAGTGCATCTTTCTATGATAAAATCATATCTTTTGGATGAAAGAGAAACAGAGTTAGAGATAAAATACTGAGGTGGCCATTTATTCTGCCGTACCCGTTATTATAATTTAAGATGTACACAATTTTTAATTATTTGAAAAGTAATAAATTTTAAAAAAAGCAGCTTTTTTTCTAATCTGATATTGGATGATTTGTTATTCTAAAACGTCATTGTCATTTTTGATGTTGTCATTGCATATTTTTATATTTGTTAATTTTTAATAAATGGAAATAATTTAATATCTACTGTAGCATAAAAAATATATATTGAATATTTTGATAATCATTTTTGTCGGTAATCTGATTCTATCAAAAGTTAAATTCATTCCTTCAATGAGCTTTGTTTAGAAGAAAATATTTTTTAAATAATTACAATAGTAACAAATTGTTTTCTAGTATTTTTATGTGATATGGTACGATTATTGACATTAGTTTTTTTTTTTATGATAATTCTTCTGCAGCTAAACAAAGAAATGATTCTATGAAAGTGCATCTGTTTTTGTTTTGGATATATAGAAAACAAAAACCATGATCCAGTTGCCTTTTAGAATACTATTATATATATGTATCACATCATTAAAGCAGGGCCATGAGATCAGCTAGTGTTGTCAAACATGGAACAAAGACTTTGATAAGGACTGTTAATGTCAAAGAAAAAAAGTTATTCGCCTTAATAATCAGAGTTGGACACGGTTCAAAGTATTCAAAAATTCGCACTGAACTGAAAAAGAAATTTTTTGAAATTCCATTATCAATAACAAAGTATTGATGCAGTTTTCATCATAATTTGTTCGTTTTATTTCAAACAATTGTTATCTTAATTCTTATCGATATGATAGATGACCCCAAATCAAATGGCTTCTCTTTATTCAAAGGATGTGAATGTGAAGTGCTTTGGATAGAATTGAAGGGTCTTTCTTAGTGTTTTTATTTAATTAAAAACGATAACTTCCATGAATATATATATGGGCGTGGCCAGTTGACATGATACCCCAATTTGCTTTCTTTCTATTATCAGTTAATAACCTAATCATATTCGGGTCAAATTATCACTCTCATCGCTAAACTACTAAATTTAAAATATTAACTGCTACTCGCTATCTTATATGAAACTATTCAATCCCTTAAAAAACGATAAGACACAATTTCAGGAACTGAATAGTTTCATATAAGAAAGCGGTCAGCAGTTAATATTTTAAATTTAGTAGTTTAGCGATGAGGATGATAATTTGACCCAAATATGATTAGGTTATTAACTGATAATAGAAAGAAAGCAAATTGGGGTATCATGTCAACTAACTACGCTCATATGAAAAATCTCTCGTAGACTAAAGCTGTTTTGTAGAATAATTGGTATTCAGGGTAATGATCTCTCTGCTATTTCTGTGTTTCGAAGAGAATGCTTAATTTTTACTACGAATGCTCTATTTTTCGTTTGCAGTGTTGCTATTCACTCATAATTTGTCATTTCTTCAAATTCGTTTTTTTCTTAATTTAGCACTCTTATTATTATAATCATCGAGTTAACTGACAAAGAAATCTGTTTTACATATTCATGATATCAACAGCAGATGTGGCGTACCATCATATATATATAAATCAACTCACCAATAATGATATTAATTATTTTTCAAAATTAACATTTTATCAATTTTGAAAAAAAAACATGTCGACAACCGAACATCTGCTATTTTTCATTACGAAGTATCTGTTGTGAGGAGGGCAAGTAGGAGTCGAAGAACTTCGAATTAAAACTGACATTCACTATTTTCTTAAAAAAATACACGCAAGTTCTACAAAGAAGTTTACAATAATTAAGGCAGTGAAAAACATGATTAGATATCATATACATTTGTAATTGATAGAAAATAAAAAGAATATGCAAATATAATAATTTATTTTTAAAATATGAATATAAAAAAATAGCTCCACTAAATACTAAGAAATTCTACATTGAATACGAATTTAGACATCAGTTGTCCGTTGACACACGCGTGAAAGACGATATCTACATATATATCAAAGAAATTAATCAATGTTTGAACGTTTTTTTTTGAGTTCATTTATCAAAATCTAATTGGTTAATGTATGCAGTAATGATTAGAAGATGATTTGAAATGTTAATATCTAAATTAGTTAATAAGTTAAGATTAATAATAAATAGTTAGTAAGAAATGTAGTTATATATGGGTACCGAAAACTAGTTAATTGTGTAGCAATCATCCATAAAGGACATGAAGATGAACGAACGCTTATGAATTGGGAAGTTCCGTTAAAAGTAGACAGAGAGAAGAGCGTCATCTTGTTATTTTTTCTATTATCGACTCATTAAAATATAGTGTATTTAGTATGTATAGTGTTTTGATTAACTAACTGTTATTTTATCAAGAAGAAGCAGTAAATTAGAACAAACACACTTTTCTGAAAGTTTTGTTTTCTATAGTGCAAGTTAGAATCCATCAGATTGGTTTCGAATCCGAAAGCTAGGATTCTAATTGTTTGCAAAATATGTAGGTGACACTAGTTACAAAAGTAAAAGAAAAAGACAACAAGCATCTCAAATCTTCGACGCGACTATAGAATTCTGACTAGAAAATTTCCAAAAGAATACTAAAGAAAACGGTTTCATTGCGTTCGATGAAGCTAAGCAAATCTGAACAAGAAAGAAGGACACTAAAAAACTGCGATTGCTACTTCGACATTCTTTAAGAAAGATTCCTCAAGTAGTAATTACTCTTTAATAAGCCTGTAAATCACATTCAATAATCTAAAACTTTGATTATATGAACTAGAGTTAAAATATGCTGTAGTCATACAGGTATTTATGGCATTTAGAAGTGTTACTGAGATAAAGAAAAAATTAACCTTTCATCATTGTTGTTTCTCAATAATTAGGATTTTAATGAATACGATCATCATCAAACAATGATTCTCGTTGATACGTTTGTCGTGATTTATTAATATTTTGGTTCATTTCCTCAACTATTTCAATATTTTTTTTTTTATAAAAAGAAGTTATTAGTAAAAGAATAATTATATAATGATAAACATAAATGATCATTCAGGATCTAAACGATGCCATTTAGATAGTTTGATACGTTTACCATTGTTAGTTTTTGAATCATCTATCAAGTGTTCAAGATAATCGCACATAATAGCTTGCTAAATGAAAATTTTTTATATGAAATAAGTGCAAAAAGAAATTCAATTATAACAAATTCATTATTACTTGATTACTAATTAGTCGCATATGGTTTTTAAGTCTTCGTATTCTATTTAAGATATTTTCCTGTAATGATTGACTAAAAATACGCAAAAATTGAAAGAAAAACACACGAACAACATATTGTTTTATGTTTTTTCCTTTTGATATAAAGCATTTAACTTGAATATAATTAGCGAGAGGAATAACTAATGAAACTCTTTCTTTATAAATCGTTCTATACCAAATTTTCATAGATCGACTACAGACGGAAGATTTTCGAGAAACTAAACACGATAATTTTCATGTCTTAGAAGACTATTATATTGAAGAGCATAAAGTTTTGAATAAAAAGAAAGGTTATCGCATCTTCTACAACTTCCTCTTAAAAATTTACAAAAACATCACAAATCGAGATTGATTATCTACAACAAAACAACGCATTGTGCTGGTTTTGTAATGCTTATCACTTTTTAAGAGAGAGTGGCGGGAAGTGGAACAATATCTCGTTTGCTTAGAGACTTTCTTCTTTTAAAGATAATATTCTTTAGCATTAATCTTCATAGAGTCTTCGGAGACCTGAAAATGTTGTGTATGATTTTTCATAACTCTTCCTTTAATAATTCTATTTATAAGATTCCAGTATACAATACATTTGATAGGATATTTCACTAACTATTCCAACCGCTATTTAGATTTAAGTGCTTCGTATCGCAGGAAAAAAGTCAACCTGATATTTTCCAAGAGCGTTTTATGAAAGATCTCAATCTAGTGATATTTTATTTAAGTTTACTACTTACACTCGTTCTTCATCTAGATCAGGTTCATCAAGTAGTTTTCTTTCCTGTTTTAAATAATTATAATAAACTTCATCATCATATGCATCTTCAGTTGTTTCAATTTTTGTTATACTTTTGTCATCGAGTGACAGTTCTAATAAAAAAATCAACTATTTTATTTAGATGAATAAAATAAAACAAAAAAAATATGTTTTACTATATTTTGTTCAATTCACATGTTGTCGATGTTTATTTTTTGGATGAATTCTGACTTACAACATTTAGCTAATGTATACAAAGTTAATCGTACACAATGAGACAAAAAAATGAAAGGTGATGGAAACGATGGACGTGATAAATATTCACACACTAATGAATATCGTTGAAATTTCCAAATACGATCTGCATTGCTTTGAAGACGATCGAAAGTATTACTAAATTAAAACAAAACAAGGCTTTAGTTAGATGCAGAAAAATGGTTTCGATACATATTAACTATCCATAGTCCTTTTTTTTCATAACGATTTAAAGTAGATGTTATAAATACTACCTGAACATAGCAATAAGTAGATTGACTAAGAGTATACTAACAATAGTCATATAACCAAGCAATAAGATAAACGCTGTATAACCATTTGCTTTAAAATTTTCTGTATAAAGACAAACATTTTATTATTTAATTAGAAATTCTTTATTCTTTTCTTCTTTGTATTTTCATACCTTCGAATGTTTCTAAAGCTTCTATTTCACCAAATACTAAACTATAAAATGATACACCAAACGCCAGTATAAATATGAAAGACATTAATATGAAAAATTTCAAATAATATACCTAACAAAAAAATATATAAGAAAACAACATTTAACAGAAAACAAAATAATACTATTGATAAAATCTGTGTGAGAATAAAATGTAAAACATGATAGAGCTACTATTGTTGTCAACGCGAAATGGAGATTGATTTATTCTGACTATCTAAGAAGGAATTTCTTCATCTTTCTTCTACTAAATTCTCTAGAAATATGATAACAAAATAGTTGGTATATTGTAAATAGTTGTTGTTGATAGGCGACTTATCACAATATCTGATTAAAGCATGTTACAATCTATGATTAATCTTTGAAAAGTAACTATTAAGGAATTGTGCTAATATCTAACTAGTGTCTCACAAAATCAAGAAGATTACTTACCATTTCATCAATTATAACAAGTTTAGGCCCAAGTAGTTTTACAGTAGTAAACATATCCAATGTACATATAAACCAAATAGATAAATCAAATGATAAAACAATCCGTGCTGCATAAAAGCATTCTGATATTGAAATATATCGAAGTACAATACCCACGAAAAATAGAATTATAGTCACAACATCTAATTTATTCCAATATGATTTAAAATAAATTACAACAGCGTTTCGTGCTGATGGTGCTCGTATTACAAATAACTAAAGAATGTGAACACAGTAAATAGAAACCATAAGATAATAGATTACAAATATATTCAAACAAATTACCGATCGAAGTTCTTCACAAACTAATGTAATAACCTATATGACAAGTATAATTTCAGTAAAAGACGGATTTTCATGTGGTTGCAGTCCATATGCAACTGATTTACTAACATTATAGAAAGTTATAGTCGATGTGTAACTTGTAACTGATAGACTATCATCTTTGTCATCGCAACAATCTTTTTTTGCTAAATTACCAGATGGTATACATAAAATTCATTAGAAGATCATAGAGTGGAAAAAAATCACATAAAATTACATAGGAAAATAATAATAAAAAGATCAAATGAGAGTACTAAAATATAAAATGAATAAGTGTATTAAATAAAATTATATGAAAAAAACAACTAATTCTGAAAATGAAACATACTTTTAGAAAAAATAAAATTAAAAAAACGACTATTATCTAATTGAATACTTACTAAATGATAAAGAAATTTAACATATGCAGTACGTATAAATGTAATAATGTGGTGAAGATATTCAGAAACTTTTCTTAATTTCCTAGAAGAATAAAATAAAACGAATTATTATTTCCTTTGTTCAATTTAAACAAATATATAAATAAATTATATGTAAAATAATCCTAACTAACAAAAAAGCAATCGTTGTTAATTTAAGTTACTATTAGTATTATTGCTACATCATGATGAAGCTTGCCATAATTATTTATCATCGTTGTTGTTGCATTATTATTGATCGTATTTTTATTGTTGTTGTTGTTGTTGATATTTTCGTTGATGTTGTCGACCTCCATCTCCTCTACACCATCATCGATGACGATGAAATCTTCATCGGACAGGGCATGGGTGTGAGTAAACCATTACGCCTTCCTCTATAAGTTAAAGTATAAATGATATCATAAAACACTCTGTATCAAGTTAGTACTCACCCAAATTTCGGTTTTTGAGTGTATTTAGAGCAATTATTTCCTATGAAATTATTGATATTACTTGATTTACATGTCAAAAGGAACTCGTACTTCACGATTTTCATTCTTGGTGTTGATATTCTACAAAAAACCTAGAGCGGACTGGTGGTCTATATCAAAAAGAAAATCTATAGACATATCATTTATATATTTTTGATGAAAACAAAGTTTCGAAAAAGTCATGGCACATATTGCAGACGAAAAGCTGTTTTTGAACTGAAATATCTCGATTTATATATCCGTGGACGCACTATTTGACTGAGATCACGAATTTGAAAGTATTTCTGTCCGTGAATGTAATAAAAAGTAAAATTTGAAACATACGACCTCGTTTTGCCAAAAAATATCCTTGATTTTATAATACTAGGCCTATAAAAGAACTACCCAGGCAGACAGATAAACGCCAAAGCGTCGTTTTGACACGTTGAAGATAAGAATAGCAGAAAACAACGTTGTATAACGCATTCACTCAACAAGTTAAGAAATAAAATTGTGTCAATGCATTTAGCTTTTTGTTGACGCATTTTAACTCATTTAGTAGAAGAGTTAGCCAAATGAATGCATTTTAATGTAGAAATCCATTCGTTTTAATCAGTGAACACAGATCAAATCAAGATATTGACAGTCATTCATTATGATTTATTTATATCATATTCTATTAAAAGAGCCAATGCTTTCAAAGTTGAATTCTTTCTTTTATATTTCTAATAAATCTAAGAATTATAAAATTTTTTTAATGTTATGTGCTTCCATTTAGATTTGGATATTGAAAAAAATACAGAGTTACAAACAAGAAGGAATTTAACGTCAGTTTGAGATTGAAACACAAGCTTCTGAATACTGATTCTAAACTAGTAACTTCCAATGTTGTTCTATTGCGTATTTCATAAAATATTTGTGTACATTCATACATTCAGTCATTTATCTGTATAGGCCCCAAATAGACTACTCAAATAAAATATGAATGAAAATTGAATTAAGAAATGCGGTTGGTGCATTAAGAGTTAATTAATCTTTTTGACATGAGTTAGCTTTTAATGCACCAATCATATTCCTTAGTTTGACTTTAACGTTAATTCACTTTCCTAGCCTGTTAGATCTTAAAAGAAGTAGATGAAAGATTTGAGCAATCTTATTCATAAAAGGAATCAAACGAGAGAAAATTGATGCATTTAGTTCTATGAACAATCTGTGATATGATCGATGAATCGAAAAATTAATGAGATGAGAGTGCATTTTATCCTACTATTTGAGGTCATTTCTGTGAATAATCCTACTATTATTTTATGTCCAACTAGTAAATAGCTCATTTTGATTGAACTTCGTAAGTAATACAATAATAAAGGACCTCCAACAAGAGTTAGTTTCTCAACCTAAGAAACTTAATAGCGATAAATATTTATTCTAGATATTTTTTCGCTGGTTTTTCTGTACAGAATATTCAATAAAGATGTTATTAGCCAACGAACACTATATTTATCTGTCTCTATGCGCTCCATCCTATTAGTGTTTACGCTGTTCTTTGTATCAGTTTCATGGTTCTGTTCTTCCATTGTCTTAAGAAAGCATAAATTACAATAAGACGTATTATATATATATAACTCATTCAATTTCTACCACGATGTGAAACTAATCGAGAGATAACTATTCATGTTCATCTATAAATAATTTCTTTTAATCGAATGTAACATAGAATTTTTTGCACGAAT